CACATTTTAAGCATTAGCCTCCTTCTGAAACACTTCAGCAACCAGCCTTGTCAGTTCTTTTGAAATTTCTTGAAAGAAATTCTCTTAAATAGGAAGTCTTGATGATTGACATGAAAGTCCAAATAACTGAGCTGATAGGATGGCTCAGTGAGCAGAGCTGTCCGCTGTCAAGCCTCAAGTTCAGGTCCTGGGACCCATGTGGTGGGAAGAGAGAACTGACCTCCGCATGTGCTCCATGACAGGCACCCCCCCCAAATAATTAATTAATAAAGAAAGACCAACTAGTTGCCTGATTTAATATGCAGTAAGCACAAAACACAGAGGCCTGAGATGGATTCAGTTTGGATTCAAAACCTTGCTTTTTTCAGTAGGAATGTAAAATTGATTTGCTGGCCAGTAACCAGACTGAAAGGTGCATTCAAGTTCCCAGCCTTGCCTTCCACTTAGTTTATTCTACATTTGCCCTTTCTCTTCATTGTTCTGAGAAGACACTCGGATAGCTGAGTCATGCCCAGGAATAAGCTGACCCCCCTACTCCCAGGCTCCCCTTAGTAGAGTCCCCTGGCACTCCATATTGGACCAGACTCAAGAGGAGACCTTTGCTGAGAACAATTATCACTCACTATGGCTTGCATCTCTGCCTTTAAACCTGCAGTAATAGTGAAGTACTTGGCCAGTTTCTTCCATCCTTGGGACTTCACATGTATAAGTAATACCTGATGGACCAGGCTCATAAAAACAGTATCAGCTTGTGGGGCGAGACGCAGAAAATTGGTGAATATTTGGTACTGCAAACTTGCATAGGAGGTCAGAGACAATCCCTAATCCCCCTTTCCTGTCATTTTTCAAATGTACATTTTAACTTCTTAACCTTTTCTCTTTATTTATTTGAGTACTGGTCTGTAACCCAGGGCCTTACACACACTGAGCACATGTACCGGCTTGTAGTACCCTCAGCCTTTTGTCATTTTAAAGATGATGACATACGTTGTAGATAATGTGGGGACTGAAAAGCCATCAAAGGTGACAGCTCATGATTTTGTCACCTCAGAATGTTCAGCACCATCAAGATGTTTGTATTCCTTCAACCGGCTTTCCTGGATTACCCCTGCAATGCACCAATGTTTATAATTTCATCCTATGGAGACATTGTTCCATGATGTGCGTCTCCTTTTGACACATTGTGAGCATTTTCCTGCATCCTTCCATATTATTCAAAAGTATCAATGTATCGGATGACTGGTTAACAGCCTATATTGTATGCCGGTGGATTTTAGATACTCTAACAAAACTGAAAGAAAAGTGATTGAGATGACATGTACCCTAGCTTGCTTAGCTTACTTGTTGTTCCCCTTGGCTATGTGCATCTCAAGACATCTTTCTGTGCACACCTAACATGCACAGGAAAAAGCAAAGCAAGGAGACCAGAGGCATCTCCACGGCTCTTCTAATTTACTTAGAATACACGTTGGATGTGCAGACATTTTGTCTGTATACCTCAGCATCTGTTCTCAGGGGCTATCCCCAGAGGTGAAAGATTGTGTCAGAACATCTCCCTGAAGTTAGAGCCCAGCCTCCTACCTCCATTTTCTTCATGGACATACCTCTCTTGGTAGGTAGGTAGGTCCTAACACCAGGTTCCCTGCTTATGTTGAATCTGTAAGAATCCAAGCAGGAAACCGCAAAACAAATAAAACACAACCCTTTGTTTTAACTGTGTGTCATGTTTTTCTGAAGTGGAGTTACAGATGGTTGTGAACCCCCATATGGGTGCTGGAAATCAGACCTTGGTTCTCCCGAAGAGCAGACAGTGCTCTTAGCTGCTGAGCCAGCACTCCAGCCCCCCACTTTTTTTTTAATGCTTCTTTTACCTGGGAACTTTTATATGTTATTCTAGAAACTTATACCCTCTAGCCCACTCTTTCCTCATTGGGTTAAAATGTTGCCTGTGTAGATTACTAAACTCCTATTCCCTCAAATGCTGTTTCTAAGCTTTCTGTTTTGTTTCACTAACTATAAGCTTGTTGCAGCACCCACCCATTATGTTACATTTCTATACTGCCACTGTTCTTCTCAATGTGTCCCTACCTGTTTTCACCAATTTGCTGCTCCTGATTTAGCAGTTCCCTGCCAAAGGCTGGAGGTAGATGCTTTAAGCTTTGCAGGTGACCATAGTTTGCTATGAGAGCTTAGCTCTGCCTCTGCCCTGCAAAGCATCCAGACAGGAATGGAGGCAGGATCTGCATAGCACATTTGTAAATCGGGAAGCTTGCTTCAGCTTCATGGCTCTAGTGTGCTGACCCCGTTCTAGATGAATTCTAGAGTCACTTTAAGTCCTTATAAATTCTGACTACGTTCAAACACACATACACATGTACATCGTGTAGTGTACACACAGATACATTTCATATTATTTTTGTACGTATTACATAGTAAAGGGAGAGGGATTTGGACAAAATGACATTGTCTTCATAAAGGAAGGTAGTGTCTCTATAGCATAAAGTCTTCCCACTGGCTAGCATCCATCATTACTGTTTGTTGATCACCAGTGTTTCATGTGTGCCCTCCTGTGCCTCTGCAGATTCCTGGTGAACATTAAGCATTGTAGTGGCTTCTGCTCTAGTTGCCTTTATAAATCTAATCTTTTCCAGCAGGCTTATGACTCTCAGCCTGGTCTATGGTTTGTTAGATCACAGATCTTGAAGGGCCCAGCCATGTGCTCCCTGTTCCCAGTAGGCCTCACCCGGCTAACCCAACCTCCAGCACCCAATGATCTTGCAAGTTAAGAATCTTCACCTCTGCCTCTGCCTTTCATTTCGTGTCCCTGTGTTTCATTTTCTTGAAGCACACATGGCATCTGCGCTGTTATTAGAAGACCAAGACATGCCACAAGAGATGGCAGGACCTGGGGGCGTATTTCATCACTGCTGTCGGCCTGCAGTTATGTTGACTGTGTTAAGCTGAGGGACTGGGAACCCTCTATGCTGTTCTTTTGTAATTCTCCAAGAAAGAATTGCCAGAAGCTGTGGTTTCAGTCTTCTCATTGAAATAAACCCACCCTTGGCTGCAGGGTCAAGATGAAAACCTTGGAAAGCCTACGAACTATGGAGAAACAAGTCCCAGCCCTAAGACAGGCTTCCTTGTACCTGCTGCTGGATGCCCGTTTATTTTGTAGTTTAACCCTGCCTTTTCTAAAATCTTGTAAAGGAAATGAAGCCAATTGTAGCTGGCATTTGGAGAACATGCCTCAGCCCCTTGGCTAGCCTTCCTAATGCCTTTGCTAGGCTCAGTTACTTGTTTAACCCCTAGGTCTCCAGCCTTCTAGAGGCCAAGAGATAGCTAGACTTAGATATTTGCAAGGGGGTAGGGTGTGCTTCAAGACAGAGTTTCTATGTGTAACAGCCCTCTGTCTACTGGAACTTGCTTTACAGACTAGGCTGGCCTTGAACTCACAGAGATCTGCCTGCCTCTGCCCCTCAAGTGCTGGGATTAACAGCATGGACCACCATGCCCAGCTTTAGACTTAAAACTTTTTAAACTAAAATCTCTACGGTAAGCACAAGACCTGGCATTCAGAGAGGGAGGCACTTCAAGTAGGATCTGTATTGAGTTAATGAACTCAGAGGGTTTCCTAAGCTGACCTGAGTGACAGTCACAGGAGTCTCTCCCAGATTACAGTGATGCTGGAACAAAGGGACAGAGCAGCAGAAGGACAAAGGCTCACCTCTAGACAGGCCAGGAGGACCCAGGAGGGCACAGCACTATCACCTGTCACAGTCTGAGCTGAGCCAGGAAGGGAAGAGGGGAGGTATCAAGAGAATCTAATGGTCCAAGGGAATGCAGATGCTAGCTAACTGGGCTTTCCACTCCTACCCCATATCCCCCTAGTTGCTCACTAAAATTATTAATAGAATTTCCTCAGACCATGAGGCTCTAAATCCTTTCCAGTTCCCCCAGGATGCTGCTCTTCCTCCAGATTATTCTGTCCCCTTTCATGCCTTATTTTAGCAAGGACAATCTCCGCATTCTGTTCGTCTGTTACAGGTACCCCTGGTTCTCAGTTATACTTATGTCTGTGTTTCATACAGGCACACAGTTTGCTGTATAAAGCAGGCAAGTCTTCTGAAATGTCATGAACTGACCCAGATGGCATGCATTTACTGGGGTTCCACATCCACACAACCAACCACACATTGAAAATATTTGGAAAAAAAAATTGAATGTGTAGATCAAATTAGCCTGTTTTCTTATCTCCACCCAAACAATATAGTGTGATATTGATTATGATATTTACAGAATATTAGGTGTTATAAGTAATCTAGAGAAGATTCAAAGTATATGCAAAGATATTCATAGGTTATAAGCAAACACTACAGCACTATATCAAGGTATTTAAGCATCCATGGAGGATGCTTTGGTATCAGCAGGATCCAGAAAGAGGTCTCATCTAGAGACTGAGAGGTAACTGTGGAATCTAGGCAGGCACATAGTCTAGTGAGGTACTTGGCCAAAGCCACTTTATAAGAATAAATTGGGAATGTTATGAGACCCTAAAGATGTTGCTTTTAATGGTGTTAGGTCTTCAATAATACTCAACCTATATTGTTTTCTCTGTAAATAAGAGCCTGCCACTTTTTAATCTGACCATTCAGAATTCAAGAATTAATTTTGATAGTAACTAAAAAAAGTGTAATTGGGGGATAAACCAACTCTAGAACTACTTTCTTTCTGAAACTTCCTGTGTTTGTCTTCTTGTCTTCTCTTTACTATTGGTTCATTCATCCAAGCACTAAATAGAGTAACTGAAGAATGCACCCACAGAAAGAGTAATTAGAATATAGAGTACTTTAGTATTCAGTACATATAACCTTATTTAAATGTTGACTGAGCTGATCTTTGTTTTCTCTTTAGAGTCAAGAAGTAGCTCCAACCAGTAGGAACAAGTGCCAGGTGTCATGTGTAACCTCTTAGTAACAAAGTATCACTTGGATCTTTTTCAGAGTTCTCTGAAGAGAAGAGGCAGCCGGGAACTGTACAAAGAGAAGAAACTTGTTAACCAGGTAAGCCGAGGATTTCATCCTAACAAGAAGCCCTCCCCACTTGAATTTTCTTTGCCTTTAAGACACTAAAAGAAGCATCACCCACCAGCACATTGGGATTCACTCACACCTTCACAGGGCGAACATTTTCTTACCACTTCCACATCTCCATCCTTTTGTATCTTCTTGCTCTGATAACCTGCTAGCGCTTTAGGAAGGAAAACAAACTGGCTTTGTGTGGAAATGAAGTAGGTATAGTTCAGGGTTCTGGCAGCTCTCAATTGCCAGAAAGTGTTGTGGCCATCACAGTCATTCACGTAGTGAAATAATACAGCCACTGGATGGTTGGGTCATTTATATACCATTGTTTTGTGAATGTGTGTGCTTTAAATGTATAGCTGCCTTTCTGGATTTCTTTTCTCTTTTTTTTTTTTTTAAGGTTTATTTATTATATATGAATACACTGTAGCTGTCTTCAGACACACCAGAAGAGGGCATCAGATCTCATTACAGATGGTTGTGAGCCACCATGTGGTTGCTGGGATTTGAACTCAGGACCTCTGGAAGTGCAGTCAATGCTCTTAACCACTGAGCCATCTCTCCAGCCCTTCTTTTCTCTTTTTAAGATTGCTTTGAGTATTAGGTGTTTAAAAAGTATGAAGGTGTTATTACTATATAGTTTCAGCAGACTCTTAAATAGCAAAAGGTAGGGACAGGGGACTAAGAGGGCATCTAGGGCCTTGTATGCACCCTACCCCTGGAAACTCCCTCTTTGTGATGCCCCTGTGCATTAGTTACTTTTCTATTGCTATGGTAAGAATACTATGGCCAAGGCAACCTACAGAAGGAAGAAGTTTTTGGGCTTACGGATTGAGAAGGGTAAGAATGTGTCAACATCAAGGTAGGAAAACACCGCACCAGGCAGCCAGGCTGCTGGAGCAGTAAGCTCAGAGCTCACATCTTGAACTGAAGGCAGGAAGTAGAGAGATCAAACTTGGGGTGACCAGAGGCCTTTCAGTCTCAAAGCCCTCCCCCAGTGAGGCACACCCTCCAGCAAGGCCACATCTCCTAAGCTTCACCAGGCAGTGTCACCATGTAGGGATCAAGTGTTCAAATGCTGGAGACTATGGGGAGTATCTTATTCAAACTACCATACCTTGGTTCCTGTGTCCTCTAGAAATTTAGTGTTGTTCAAAACTCAGCAAAAGACGAATTCCCCTCAATTCTTATTGCAGAATCCATTGATCACAGGGAAATTAAAGGCATCCCACTGCTGGGGGTTTCAAATATCCTGAGTTTAGAATATGTTTCTAGTTTTCCCTGTCTCTGGCCCAGCAGAGAGCTTTTTCCTCAAAGTGCAATTACTGACTGATGAGTAGGTTGGGTATAACGTCCCAGGCACATGAACTGTAGCCTCTTGTGTGCACGAAGGCAATCCATGCTGTATGGAGTTGCCCCATGGAGCCTGCAGGGTGATTGAGAAAGGAGTTTCTATTCAGCAGAATGGTGGAGTGGAACGTCCTGGGAACTGCAGGTCGGCCACCAAAACCCAAAGGAAGCTGGCACCGAGGCGCAAGGTAGGCACATGGGCAGTTGGCTGCTGGGGTGCTGGTTAGGTGGCAGACTTGCAAGCCAAAGAATATATACCAGCAGCGATATATTTTTGTTGCTTGACAAGCCTTTCCAGCTGTTGGTGATGGTGCTGGTCCCTGTGTGTCTGATCCTTGCTATGCTTGGTTTTTCTGCCCATAGTTGGAGTTGTTTGCCTTGGAAAGATAAGTTCCATTTTGTGCTTCCCTTGGCTCCTGAAACTTGAGCTTGATACTCCCAAGTTTAGGATTTAACCTAGACCCCTATTCTAGAATCTTGGGAGAGTTTTCTAGAAGTCTTTGGTTTCAAGTTCATAACAGCTGCCAGCTGTGTGAGCCGAACTTGTCTCATTAGGATAGAGTCTTCCTCAGAACAGGCTGACCTCAGCTTCCCTTGGGTAGAGGCACCATTTTCTCTCATGGACCTCACAGAGTAGTGGGACCTGCTTCAGCTGCAGTGACATCAGGGAGTGAGACCAACTTCTTCACTTACTTTCTTCATTTACTAGGTTTGAAGGTTCTCAAGTCTCTTCTTCCTTCTCCCTGTGCCCTTCGCTGCTCTAGTCTGGTGGCAGGCTCTGTAGTGTGCATGGTGTTGGTAGAAATGGCAGCATGTTGTATCACGCATCAGAGTGCCTGCTTTTTGGATAGTTTTTCTCTTCAAGGAAAAGAAGACTGGAGAATGATGGATCTTCAGGTGACCTGCAGACTGGACACTCTTTGGGCTAATTGTAACATTGATGCTATTGCTGTCCTTGGTCGAGCTTAAGGGGAGAATGGTGCTGGAGATGATTCGTAGGAGGTGGTGGATGGAGGAAGTATGAGGGTCAGGTTTTTCCTGAAGTCAGGATGACTGCAGGGTTCTGTGGGATGCTCTGCTTGTATAAGCAGGTGAAGACAAACACTGGGGAGCTTTGGAGTCTCAGACCTTTCACAGACTACTCCTTCCCCAGTCACTTTTCACCTTGGTTCCAGGAAATATTGCTGAGAGTCCCCATCCATGCTCCTGTTTCATGACAATTGCTTCCAGAGCTGGGTAGGATCCTCTCCAGCCCTTGATGGTACCAAGGCCTCACATGGATTACAGGAGATGGCCCTACACTTTTTTGGTCTAGCCCTCTTGAGTCCCAGGCTAGAGGTGGCTGAGGATGGGTATCTGGTTGAAAGATACTCCTGTCATTAGTAGCTGTTGAAGAATTCATCTGCCTCAAAGGTAGTAATTTAGGCAATTTTGGTGACACACTGGTCACCCAGGTAAAGATAGACTGAAGCTTTTATCCCAGTTCCTGAATTTAACTCTGAAGTGAATGCAGTTATAGAAAGTATTTACACTGTCTTCATTGATAAGTATTGTAGCTTCCTACAAACTTCATGTAAACAGCAGACAGTTGTCAGTGTATGTGGATTCTGTGGATATCTTTGTCTAACAGGAAGCTGGGACATGATTTTTATTGTATTACTTTAGAATGTTCAGAGAAATCAGGGCTATTTGAAAATATATGCCAATTGCTGCTACTCAGCAGATGTTCAGTAGACACTGAATGAATGAATGAATGAATGAGCAGGTATGTGCACTCATTAGTGTCAGGATCAGGCGCACTGTGTGTCCTTACAACTTTTGCATGAAATCCTGAGAAAGGAATTACAACCACACAATCTATGAACCCACTTTGCTAGTGGTTAAGAGTAGAGTAACTAGGCATGGTGGCACATGCCTTGAATCCCAGCACTCAAGAGACAGAGGCGGGTGATTTCTGTGAGTTCAAGGACAGCTTGGTCTACAGAGCGAGTTCTAAGACAGTCAGGGCTACACAAAGAAACCCTGTCTCCAAAACCAAAACAAGAGAAGAAATAGGTTTAGTAGACTTACTTAAGGTTAGTCATGGAACACCCCCTCCCTTTTTTTTTTTTTTTGTCTGCCTAACCAAAACCAAATCCTTCGTGTGAAAATGTTCAGAACTTGAAGACTACGATGTGTAGATCGCTGTCCATAGTACACAAAGGGTGTGTGTTGGGGACAGGTATGGGAGAGCACCACACATAGGGTACACGAGGCCCCAGGGGACACTCTGCACATCATACTTTCTGCAGTTTGGTTGTAGATTCCTTCAGTTGTCTGGGTCACTCAGTTCTCCTTCCATGAGTCTGTCTGTTGTCAGGGAGAAGCAGACAAGACACCAAGGAAGCCAGATGGTTTTGCACTGTCAGGATGTGGCAGAGAGTAGCTGCAGTTCTCTGAGCTCCAGAATTTTATAGAACCTCCTGGACAGCGGGAACATAGTCAGCCATGCACAGAAGGCTGACTTGTTCCACCATGTGGTTGACAGCCTGCGAAGCAGCAGTTCAGCAAGTGTCAGAGCAGGTGTCAACACACTCTCCATGTGATGGAGGGTAGGAGGCTTTGTTGACCTCAGTCCTGCTCTCATCAGTCTAACAGGACTGCTTTGAGAAGTTCATTCTCATATGTTCTGAACACAAAGAATACAACAATTCCTTAAGCCAAGATAGTATAGATTACTTCAAGGCCCGGGACCCAGGCTGAAAAGGTGGTTGACTTTCCTTGTCTGCCGGGTAGTACTCTGGATTCCCTGGGATTCTGTTGAGAGCTACTTCTCAGATTTTCAAACACTTAGCTTCTTTCTCTGGTCTCTGCTTCATTTCCTGCTGTGTCACGGCAACCAAAACAGAGGACCAGAACAAAAGGCTCCAAAGTGGCTCTTGCATGGCAAGGAGCCCAGATGTCTTTGCTTGTACTAGCTTAGATGTCCTCTATGTCAGTGTGTGTTCTCAACTTGGAAAGCTCTGTGATGCCCACCATGGCATCTCATGTCATTTTGGGAGCCTTGAGGAAGGAGATATGCCAAGAGGAAAGATGAATTACTCCATCTCATGTACCTCAGCTACTCGGTGGAAAAGCTAGGCTCCAACTTAAGAGTTATTCAACTTCACTGTCCTGGTGGAACCTTCTGGATTATCAGACATGTAAGGGACATTTACAGTGGCCACAGGGTAGATGTAGTTTCTGAATCCTGTTAGTTTTACCACCAGATCTTGATGAAGAATTTTGGTAACTTCCTCAGAGTGCTGATGATGAATCAGGCTGGATCTGCAAAGTCACCATGGGCGGCCATGTTGCCGATGAATCTTAGACTTCATTTAACTTTCTCCTTCTTAATTCTTCTTTATTTATAACTTGTGTGTTGATTTCTGTGTTGCATGATCTTCCCCAAAACTGACTATTAAGCTTCTTGACAAAGCAACAAACTATGGGTCATTTCAAGGTTCCATCTGCAAAGACTTTGAGGCTCACTGCTGCTCTGCCATGGCTTCTCTCTTTCTATAAGCCAACAGCACCAACAGGATGTGTTCACGTGCATGTGCGTGTGTGCATGTATGTATATGTGTGTATGTGTGTTTGCGCATATGTGTGTGTGTGTGTGTGTGCGCGCGCGCGCGCGCGTGTGCGTGTGTGCGTGCGTGTTAAGGGTGAGGTGTGAGGGGACCATAAAAAGCACACTTGATATTTTCAGATAACCCTCCCTCGGGCTATTCTTGCCTGGCAGGATGACAGTGCGGATTTGAAGTGTCAGCTTCAGTTTGCCAAAGAGGAAGCTTCCCTGATGCGCAAAAAGATGGCCAAGTTGGGGCGGGAGAAGGACGAGTTGGAACAGGAATTGCAGAAGTATAAGTCCCTCTATGGTGATGTGGATAGTCCCCTCCCAACAGGGGAGGCTGGAGGTCCCCCCAGCACCAGGGAGGCAGAGCTGAAGCTGAGGCTGAAGTTGGTGGAGGAGGAAGCCAGCATCTTGGGCCGGAAGATCGTGGAACTGGAGGTGGAAAACCGTGGCCTCAAAGCAGAGATGGAGGACATACGGGTTCAGCATGAGCGAGAGGGAACAGGCAGGGACCACGTGCCAAGCATCCCTACCTCACCCTTCGGAGACTCAATGGAGTCCTCCACAGAGCTCCGCCGGCACCTACAATTTGTGGAAGAAGAGGCTGAGCTGCTTAGGAGATCCATATCAGAGATTGAAGACCATAATCGGCAGTTGACCCACGAGCTGAGCAAGTTCAAGTTTGAGCCTCACCAGGAGTCAGGGTGGCTTGGGGATGGTGTATCTAAGGGCCCTGGGGCCAGTGTTCCCCTGCAGGAGGAGCTGAAGTCAGCCAGGCTACAGATCGATGAGCTGAGTGGGAAGGTACTGAAGCTGCAATGTGAGAACCGGCTGTTGCTGTCCAATGCCCAGCGGTGCGACCTTGCTGCGCATCTGGGGCTACGTGCTCCGAGCCCCCGAGACAGTGACGCAGAGAGTGACACGGGCAAGAAAGAGAGCGATGGGGAGGAGGGCCGCCTTTCCCAGCCAAAGCGAGAAGGCCCTGTGGGTGGGGAGAGTGACTCGGAGGACATGTTCGAAAAGACCTCAGGCTTTGGAAGTGGAAAGCCTTCAGAGGCGAGTGAGCCATGTCCGTCAGAACTCCTAAGGGTCCGGGAGGACACCGAGTGCCTGGTGACCATAAAGCTGGAGGCCCAGCGGCTTGAGCGGACTGTGGAGCGCCTCATCTCTGACACAGATGGCTTCATCCATGACTCAGACCTGCGGGGCAATGGATCAGCCTCACCTGGAGTCCAAGGTGAAGGTGAGGGCAAAAGCCCGAATGAGCCCCATTTGTTGGAGACCATCAATGTGAGGATGAAGGCTTTCAGGAAAGAACTGCAGGCCTTCCTGGAGCAGATGTCCCGGATTGTGGATGGTCTCTCGCCCTTATCCCACCTCACAGAGTCATCCAGCTTCCTCTCCACTGTGACTTCTGTGTCCCGAGACTCCCCCATCGGGACCCTGGGGAAGGAGCTGGGCCCAGACTTGCAGGTAAGGGGGCTCCCAACTTTGCCTCCCTGCTCCGTCTCGTTCTTCTTCCTCCTCTTCGCTGGCATTGCTGCTCTAGGGCTCGCACTGCTTACGGCTGCTTGGTTTTAAGTTCAGACCTGCATTGTACTAAAGCCTCAGCGTCAACTAAATCCTTTCTCTCCGTTGGTTTCTTTCTTTTTTTTTTTCTAAAAAATTTTTGTTTTATAAGTTCGTTTTTTATTTTCTTGTTCCTTCCCCCGTTCTCCTCTACCTTAATTGCACCACTATTCGTGGTTTAGAGGGTCTTTCACGACGAGGCCACGCCCTGTGGAGGCACGCCCTGTGGAGGCGCTAGGGACCGATGCAGCTTTCTGTTGCTCCTCTTTTGGTGTCTCAACCAACCAGCCACCCTGACGAAGAAGCTATGAGGAGGAGTTTCAGACAAAATACCGACTCCCATCACAGTCAGGAAGGACACTTAGACTCAGTAACAAGCGCCCGACTCCCTCTGGTTTATCACCAGAGGGACAAGTACAGTTCTGAGAAGTCTCAGGCATCCCAGGTCCACCACTCCCTCTGGAAGATAATCCAGGATGAGGGAGAGGAGCCAGTTCTGAGGAGGCTGGTTTTGAAGGAAAACCTCCGCTGCCACTTGCTCCTGCCGCCCTCCCTCGCTGCCCAGGGTGAGGGCCAAGGGGAGCTTCGCCCTGGGTGCATGGCCCAGCTGCTGCCCCGGACTGTGGCTTTGGCTGCTCAACCCACAAGTAAGGAAGGCAGAGCCTCTTCCCCGTGTCCTTCATGGGTAGTGTGCCTATGTCCCATTGCATGTGCCTTATATCCAGTGTTACGCATAACCGCCCCCTAGATCTGCTTTCCACATTAGCTCCTCCTTTCGCTCATGCCCATTCTAGTTCTATTTTGTTTGCTCTCTTAAGTGTTTAAGCTGATTTTTTTTTTCATTCACGCTCTTCTCTGGTAGTTTTTCCCGTTGTCTACCCACTTCGTGTTTTACCCTCTATCTCCTCCAGTTTTTACCTACCCCTTTGTCTTCCTTTTCTCATTTAAAAATTAAAAGCAAAACAAAATAAATCACCTTCATGCACCTAACAGTCCAAACTGAGAGAGCAGCTGGAATGGCAGCTCAATCAGGATCGAGGGGATGAGCGAGAGGGCCTACGCCTCCGAGCCACTCGGGAGCTGCATCGTCGAGCTGATGGGGATTCCGGGAGCCACGGGCTGGGAGGCCAGAGCTGTTTCAACCTAGAGGTAAGTGAGCTGTCAGGCTGACTGCTGGCCTTTTACCTCCCTTCCCTGAGAAGGTGGTTCATGCCCTGAGGGAATTTACTCTGGACTCACAGGCCTGTGACAGAAAGAGCTGAGCATACACACACACACACACACACACACACACACACACACACACAGGCACGAAGGCACACAGGCACACACATATACACACGTGTATAGTGGTACTAATTTACCAGAAGCAAGCAGAATCACCGTCTACTTGTGGAGAGAAACCTCCATGAAGTACAGAGAGTGACTGAGTCCCTGGCCCTCCAGGCATAGCACCCAGCCCGTCATGTTTTCTTTAATGTTTCCCCAGTACAGACTTTGGACAGAGTTAAATATATCCACTTTAAATTGCAAGTTAAAGGATCCTAGGTTTTCTAACTGAAATGTAACAGAGTAGCCACATACTAGTGGTATTCATTTCTCCACGGATTTCATGAGTTTTAGTGTCTTAGGACTCTGAAACTTTCACAAGAAAGCATCTCTGTTAGCCTGTACAGCACACAGGGAAGGTCTTCATCAGACAGGGTTGGTTGTTCCTTGAGTAGGCACAAATGTATGCTTTTCAAACAGCTCTTTGGTGATTCAGGACAGACGACCCAGGAAGACGCTTTCTCCAATCTTTGATGAGCTTTCTCCAACTTTTGATGAATTGTGTACTTCTAATCTATTCCTATCAGGGACACTTTGAGCCCTGGGGCTCTAGCCTGAATGTGTACTACCAGCTTGGTCTCCTGGGCAAGACTCTGAGCTATTTTCCATCTATGCAGTGAGTCAAAGTTCTGTTCCACTCACCTCCTGTGGTCACGTGTGATTCTTTAAGCTGTGAGTGGGGATGCCTCTCTAGGTACCTCATGTTGTGGACAGCACAAAGGAGGATTAAGAACAAGTAATAGAATGGTCCAGGTCATTTCCCAGTCTTGGGTGCCATAGTTCCGCAGCATGTGGTAGTTAGTGGTCTTTTCCTGTGATGGACTATTTAAGAACTGTATCCTCCACCTCTGGAGGCTGGTTATTATAGCATGTCCTGGCAAGCGGTCTGTAAGCCTCAGAACTCTTTGCCAGCTAGATGCCTCCTGGGTCCTGTTGGTGCTGAAGCGACACCAAGGTGCTGCATGCACACAGACATCACAGCCTTCAGAAACCAGCCATAGTGTTGCAGAGAGAACACTGAATTAAATCAAATACAGAGGGTCAGCCAGTCTCCACAAAAGGTAGATGAGTAAATCTGGCATACTATCACCACCAATACAGCTCAGAGAGCTCAGGGGAAAACATCTGATCTTCAGACTTAACTCCCTTGTTCTGTGGATGACACAAATAAGGTCTTTGAAGAGAGTGACCCTAAGTCCCTCCTCTCCATCCCCCTCAAGACAGTGAGTAACAGAATTGAGTCCAGAACAGTCTTCTCAGCCTGCTCCAATATTCTGTGACAGCAGGGCCTGGCAGCCCAGAGCCTATACTCTCCACGGCTGTATTTCCGGCTTTTGTCATTCAATGGCCAGCTACCCTACCATAGTACCACCATTCCCCCAAGTATCCATTCAGATTCCTTTCAGTTGTATATATTTTAAAAGGAGAAGTGAGAAAAGGAAGGCCAGGTCAAGGGAGCATGTTTCCTAGAAGGGATGAGAACCACACATCCTTCCGTCACACAGGCATTCATGTGGAGTAGGAAAAGAGTCAGGTATGTAAACACAGTTATTTTTAAACCTTTAATTAACTGTTTGGGAGCCTCTCATCCTGCTGTAGTTTTTCTTTTGTCAGAAGAGTCCTCCCTTGTAGGGCCTCAGCCAGAGAGGCTGTCCATCCTGGTTTGGTATGTCACTCCCATAGTCTTGTAGGTTGCAATACTACATTCTGCTAAAGGACTGTACAGTGGGAGATTCCAAGGAGCAAAGAAAGCCTCCCAATGAAGACATTCTTCAATTCCCTGCCAGTCACGGAGGCAGTATGGAGCTCCTAAGAGTTAGCAGGGCATCTGACCTCAGAGGTGCTCTGTATTGAAGATTACTCTGCCATCGAACAACGCCCCAGTCCCAGTGTAGACTCAATCCAGAGTGAGGCCTAATTCACAGCTTGGATGTGTCCTGCTGGCAGGCGTGTCTCTGTCCCCTCATGCATTGTTCTTTATACAACCACTGAGGTGGCCCTTCGGCCAATGTGTACTGGTGTGTAAACCTTCTTTAGCTTTCTGTCTTAAGTTCTTGGGGGGAAGGAGTAGTGGTGGGAGGCATGGGTAAAAACCCAGCACTAGAAGAACCTCTTTCAGAATTTAGGTGGAAGTGTTTTCTTTTCTTTTTCTTTTTTTTTTTTAAAGGATAGGTTCCTCCAGGCTCATTTGTGAGATACCTTTGTTAGTTTTGGCCTTTGGAGTACTGCTGTTTGGGCCAGAAGAAAGAGGGCAAGTTGCTACTTTGAAAGATTGGATAATTTTTTTTTTGGAGGGGGGAGGGTATTGGATTTAAGCTATGATTACTGTTAGTAACACCAGTGACAATGTTGTATACAGCAAAGAGGAAGAGAAAAAGTCTACTCTTAGTAGATAGCAAATAGGTGTCATATAGATAGCCTGCTGTATGTATATAGACAGCCTACTGTTCAGATACCACACTTCACCAAACCTAGGGAAGGAAGGGTGTACTGGAGCCAGCATTCTTGAAAATAGAACCCATAGAAGTCAGAACCCATCCACACCTGCAAACTCACTAATGCAAATGCACAGAAACTAACAGCTGAAAAGCTCATGAGCAGCCAGATTCAGAGGGACGAATATTACTGTCACCTGTCCATCCCTGTGCATACTGACGGTAGGTTCCTGCTGTGCTCTGGACTCTTCTCTGCCAAGAGACTCACTTGTGTTAAGAGAGCAAGCACTGTATGGAACATTTCATATGGAATGTGCAAGGCACCTTAAAAATAGTCCTGAGAAGTGGCCAGGCAGGGACACTGGTCAGGTTTCATATATAAATGAAACCAAGCCTGAGCCCAGAGGATCGAGTTTCTGAGTCAGGAGCTCAAAGGGCTCTTCTTACCCGATCCTCCTCCTTATCCCTTAATCACTGAGGCACACCAGCATCTGTGGTGCCCCACGTCTCAGCTGTGAAATACCAGTCCCAGGAAAGCTACTTGGGGTTTATGCCAAGTATTTGTACATGTGTGGAGCTCATCTACCGAGTCTGAAGGAAGTGGCCAGGACAGAAATGAAGTCATGGTCCAAGTAGCTGTAGAGTTCTCATATATAAGTGCTTGCTGGGCAGTAGATGGATCAAAAGTCTCTTTTTGTTTATTGTCCCTAAGCCTTGGACTAATTTATAAGGTGTTTTATATGGAGCTGGTCAGAAAGCCAGCAGTGAGATACAGCCTCTGGTGGGAGGGCATGCAGGGAGGGTCTCAGAATGCTGACACAGAGCAACGGAGGCCATATTGCCAAGGCTACTGTCTCATCAGCTTCTGAACAAGTGGGTCTGGCATTTGCTTAAACAAACTGACTTCATAGAAAAGCCAGGACAAGCTCATTTGTTGTTACTGGTCGAAATAGGTAAGTGAGCAAAGGAAGGTTTTTAAATCCAAATCTTGGGGATCTGGTGATGAAGAAAAGTATTAATTGTTCTACAGGAAATTTGTGTGGCATGAAAATGTCCCCTAAGTGTATGTGATTGTTTGCAGCTGTATGGCAGTATAATCATTCTAGATGGCATTTTTTTTGACACAGCATGTTCGTATTTTGTTCTTCGTAACACTGGAGTGACCACAAGTGTTCTAGGATTTCATTTGCAAAAGAAACAGTGCACGGAAAGACACTTGAAAGAGCGGGATTCTAAGTGCTTCTGGTCTGCCCGGATAGTACTGCCCTCTGTTGCCCAGCTGAATACCCCCAGATGACCTCAAGGGCTCTCTCTTTGTGACCCTGTGCAAGTGTGGCTCCAACAGAAAGGCATGCTATCAATCAGATGTTGCTGAAGATTGAAGCTTATGGCTTTATATTATTTTAAGGATCTATTAAGATTAAAACTAAAGTAGTACAATATTGAGCATATGTGAACTGGAGTTGAAAATGCCCCAAAGTCTGAAACTTCTGAAATTCCACAAAACTCCATAAATAGAAAATCCCAGACTATGCAACATCATGCACAAAATTATTAAAAACACGATATAAATTAACCTCAGACTATGGGTGTAATGCGCATATAAAACATGAATTTTGTGTTTAGTTCCCACTGTATCTTGTTATATGCTTTTCTTAACAATGAACTTGATTGGAATGTTTTATGTCTAATAATATAATATGTTGGTTAGTATCTAAAACACTGAAACTCAAAGGGTGTTTACATTCTGAAGTCAGCACCCAGGCTCCTGAAACAAGTCTATAGACAACACCTGAGCTGCAAATCCCTGCTGTGACCCAATTGCTGTGAGTGGTGCCCAGCCTAGGAAATACCTTGTCATGTTGTATAAAATATAAAACATACCAGGCTGGAGAGATGCCTTAGCAGTCAAGAGCACTTGCTGATCTTCCAGAGGGGCTAGGTTTGGTTCCCAGCATCCACAGTTGGGCAGCTCTCAACCAAGTATAATGCCACTTCTAAAGGATCTAACACTCTCTTCTGGCCTCTGCAGGCACCTTTATACACAGGTGCACACATATGAAAAAAAAAATATATATGTATATATCTCACATTTACATTTGAATAGTGAATTCTCCTGAATCTTCTCTAGTTGGAACTCACTCCAAAGTGGACAGAGAGCAGTGTCCAGCCTTTAGACATGTGGCTTTGGGTGGTAGTTGCCAGCAGTGTTGACTGTTGGCTCCAGTAGCTCCAACGTAACAGGAGACAGGGTGCTTGGCCAACCAGTGGCAGGGATGATTATCAATGAGCAAGACAAACAAAAAGAACCATAGCTGACTTTACTCAGAATCAAGATTTGAACTCCTGTTACCAATTTGTTCTGTTGTCTATAATGCTGCCTTT